AAACCTTCGCTGTCTGCACATTAACTATGGCTATTTGATGAACAGGAGTAGTTAGATTAGCCTACGTCGAAGTAGTGGAGAGGATAAGAGAACTTTACCCAAAACTCAATTCTTTTGAGCTGAAAGTGGAGTTTTTGGATGAGGTACCTCAAACTCCCGCTGATGATGCAGTGGAGGTAGAAGACCAAGAGGGTGCTCTTGTAGACAAAGCTTCAGGCCAAGGAGCCCCAACTGCTAAAGCACCTGTTACGGAGGCTTCAGACTTCCTACCACCTCTAGCATAGTATACGATTTTTAATTTGTTTTCTAATGTACTGGCCGAGGCCCACCAATGTACAATTTTTTTGTTTAATGAAGTGTATATTTCTCTATCTTGTTGTTTGAATTTTCCAAGTATTGAGACGGCCATCAATAACTTTAAACAATATAACTTGCAATAAGATTCAGGACTTAAGTAATAACTCGCAAGTATTGGGACCTCCGTTAAGTATATAACTTTAATAATATAACTCATAAGCGACATTAAAGTAAACATGATGACCTCCAAATATAAATTATAACTTCAAATTTTGGGACCTCATTGAGGTACATATCCTTTTAGCAGTTATCATTTCTTTCACGCCTTGGAATATTAATACGATGACCTTTTTGGGATCCGATCCTCTTCTTCGAGGTACCCACATTTCTTTACATGGTGGATGGTTCATCCATGTAGGGGCTTCTCCCATGACGTTCAGTTTCATCATGGGAGGTTTATGTTGTACGCCTCGGAGCGCCAATGAGTTAATCCCTTTTGGGATCTGATCCTCTTCCTTAAGGTGCCCACGCTTCCTTACATGGTGGATGATTCATCTATATAAGGGCTTATCCCATGATGTTCAGCTTCGTCTTGGGAGGCTTGTGTTATAGGCCTTGGAGAACCAATTAGGTAATCCCTTATGGGATTTGATCATCTTCTATGAAACACCTACACTTTCCTTTATGGTGGATGATTAATCCATGTAGGACTTTTTTCCACGATGTTTAGTTTCGTCATGGAAGGCTTGTGTTGTACGGCTCGGAAAGTCAATGAGGTAATCCTTTTTGGGATCTGATCCTCTTCTACGAGGCGCACACACTTCCCTACATGGTTCTTCTATGTAGGGGCTTCTTCCATAACGTTCAGCTTCGTCATGGGAGGCTTGTGCTTATAGAAAAAATCAAAATGTTCTTTTATTGAATCATTTCAAGGTATTTATAAGGGCTGGGAAGATTCCTCCAATAGTAAAACCCATTCACTACTAGTATATTTTAAGATGTTCTATGTTCCATAGGCGAGGCTGCATTTTCCTATCTAGATCTTCTATCCAATATGTATCAGGTCATAGCTCTTCTTTGATGTGATATGGTCCTTCCTAGTTTGGACCCAACGTGCCTACCCCTGGTTCCTTGGATTACGGAAGACTCTTCGAAGTACGAGGTCATTTATTCGGAAGGACATTTTCTTAACTTTCCCATTATAGTAGCAGGTCATCTTCCTTCGATATGTGGCTAGTTTTGTTTGGGATTCGTCTTTCCTTTTGACGAGGAAGTCGAGCTCACATCTTTTCAACTCATCATAGGATATTTCCTTGAATTGAAATCGATACGGAAAGGTAACCCGACTTCCACCTGGCTCATTACTTCCACACCGTAAGCCATTGAGAATGGGGTTTATCCAATTGAGGCGTCAAGTTTTCTTTTCAAAGCATAGTTAATGGTTTTGTTTATAGCCTTTACTTGTCCATTTGCCTGGGGTGGTGAGGTGTTGAAAAATGCTTCTTGATCCAAAATTCCTCGTACAAGTCCCTGACCTTTTTGTTATCAAACTGACGGCCATTATCTGAGACAATTGAATGGAGAATTCCAAACTGACATATTATATTCTCCCACATGAACTTAGAAGTGTTGGCTTCTGTGATCTTGGCTAGAGGTTCGGGTTAACCCATTTTGTGAAGTAATCAATGACAATAACAGTAAAATTTGCACTACCCTATCCTTAGGTAAATGGCCTATAAGGTCAATCCCTCATTTGACAAACAACCATGGGTTGGATACCACTGTTAGCTCTTGGGATGGTTGTCTCTGGATAGGAAAAAAATGTTGACATTTATCATACTTTCTTACCAATTGGATCGAGTATTTTTTTCCAAATGGGCCAATAATACCCTTGTCGTAGTGTTTTTGGTGCCAAAGCAAGCCCTCCAACGTGATTGCCGCAAACGCCCTCATGAATTTCATGGAAGATGTATATTGCTTCTTCTTTCCTGACACATAGGAGGAGGGGCAAGAAAGACCTATTTTGTAGAGCACTTCATTCTAGAATACAAAGTGGGCTACCCTTCTTCTAAGCTTGTAAGCTTCATCTTTATTGTTGGGAAGGGTTTGGTCTTTAAGAAATGCGACTATTGGTTGCATCCACATTGATGTTCATTCTACCCACAGTACCTCTTTCCCTTTAGCAGTAGAGGGCTCCAAGAGATGTTCAATCGGCACAATCATTAGTAGTTCCAAGTCTTTGCTACTAGCCAATTTGGACAGAGTATCAGCATGGGCATTTTCATCACGGGGAATTTGAGCTAACTCGAATTTCTCATAAGATGGGAGTAAGTCTATTACCAATTTGAGGTACGCGGCCATGCTATTGTCTCTAACCGTGAAGTTGCAATTTACCTAGCTAACTACTAGTTGAAAGTCACTATTAATGAGCAACTTTTTCACTTGCATTTCTTTAGGTAACCTCAAAGCAACAAGTAGTACCTCATATTCTGCCACATTGTTGGTAGCTTTGAACCCGAACCTTACTACGCAGTTGATCTTGTATCAAGGCTAGAGCTAACTTTTCCATATCAGAGTAGCAGGTTTCCGCAGCCAAAAGTGCCTTACTCACATAATAGACAATCAATTGTTGAGTATCTTCTTCTTTTATGAGAACTGTGCTAGGAGAGATATTAAAGAATGGGATACAATTGTCAGTGCCCTTCAAGAAGAAATGGCTTAAAGTCACCACACGCTCGGTCAAACTTTGCACCTCCTTTGGTTAAGAGACCTCTATGCCCATTTGGTTAACCATGTATTCTAGGAATTTACCGGAAGCAACATCAAAAGCATTTGAGGAGATTCAACCTCATTTTGTACCTTCGTAGGATTTTGAAAGTTTCATCCAGGTGCCTTACATGGTCATCCGCCTTTAAGCTCTTCACGAGCGTGTCATCCACGTAGACTTCCATTGTTTTGCTAATGAGGTTGATAAACATTTTATTAAAAAGTCTCTGGCAGGTAGTATTGGCAGTTTTTAGCCCAAAGGACATCATCTTGTAACAATAAAGACCTCTGTTAATGATGAAAGAGGTTTTTTCCTCGTCTGTCGAGTGTATGGAGATTTGATTATAGCTTGAGTAGGCATCCATAAAGCTCAAAAGCTCATTCCAGCAGTGGAGTCTACAAGTTGGTCTATCTTTGGAAGAGGAAAATTATCTTGGCTTCGAGACTTACTTCGGGTAAATGGTCTCTCTAATAAAGCCATTCTTTATCAACTTCTGCACGTCCTCTTTCAGGGCCTCATATCTTTCCGAGCTGAGGGATCTTCTCTTCTGTCTATGCGGGGCAACCTTAGGATCAATTTTTAAACAATGACAAGTGAACTTTGGGTCACTATATACCACGTCCTCATGCCTCCATACAAAGACATCAATGTTCCTATATTAAAAAAATACTTAAGTTTCTCTTTGTTCTCCGATGGTAGGTCTTTTCCCACCTGAAGTGCCTTAGTAGGATCTTGAGAATCCACCAGGAAGCTATCTAGCTCTTCTACCAGTGCTGCTTGAGATTCAGACTCAATAATACGAGGGTCAATTCATTAGTCATGACTGTCTACTCAAGGATGTCAGTCATTTCGACGTCTTCTTGATCGAAATTTTGGTCTCTTAGGGTGTCTATCATATCAGCATCCATTAACACCATGTTGACATCCCTGGGTTCAGCTTTTCTTATTGAGTTGAGGTAACATTTCCTTGCTCCTCTTTGGTCACCCCTAACTGTAGCAATTCCATGTTCAGTAGGGAACTTAATGCATAGGTGTGAATGAAGGTAACGACCCATAAATCATTTAAGGCAGGTCTACCTAGCACCCCATGGTAGGCTGACCTATTATCTATTACCAAGAATTCCATGAAGTTCAAAGCTATCTGGGGTGGTTCTCCCATTTCCACAGCAAGGGTTATTTTCCCCCTCGGGATGATGCTATCACCGGTAA